ATGGCTTTCCTTATTTACCTGTAGATATTTTCAGGGCTGTGTAGACGTCTCCTGTTACTGCTAAATTGTATGGTTCAATCCAACCATTTGTTCACTGAACATAAATAAATTCAGATTTTTATCTGATCCCAATCTTTCACATTATCTTTCTTTCTGTTACACACACACACACACACACACACACACACTTACTTTTCATCTAATGTAGACACTCAGTTGTGCTCACTACTTGCCATATTCAGCTGTCAGGAACAGGAAACTGCTCCATTCCTGTTAGGAAAAATAACATGTATTGAGTGGCACGAGAGGTGATAAATTTGTTTAATAAATATCATTTCTTTTATGTCACCTATTTTACTATACTGTTTGGAAGGCAATTTTGAAAGATTCCCAAGGTGATTTTTATTACGTGCAAATTCTACTGACGGAAGAACTTAAATCCACCTAAAATGTACCGCTGTTGAAATGGAGACTCTGTAATCATCTCTGTTTTAGTAAGGACGTGAATTACATGGTTAATGAAAAGATGATAACGTAGCTAAAGGATAGTTTAAGAGAATAAATTCCAGTTTATCATTCAATAAATAAGTAGACAGTCTTCCCCCACCCCCTACATTTTATTCCTGGAAAATAGGTCAGGTTTTCCCATAGGAAAAATGTAAGATGAGGGTAGAATAATTGATCAGTAACATAGCATCTAATAAGACACAAAGACATAGCGCAGCTCTAAATTTATGTGGTCTCTTAAGATGTACAATTTAACAGACACTGTCTAGAATTCTGAATCTATGGAGAACTCCGAGAAGTATTTATTTCTAATAATTTTATTTACAAATAAAATTCTGTAGAGACCAAAAGAACTGACAGTAGCTTACATAATTAGTGACAGAGGCATGGCTTGAACTCAGATTGCCCAGCCTCCAATCCAATATTTTTCTACTATATCATGCTGTTCTATGACTTACACAGTCCATATTGTTACTATACAGTATAAGTAATTTACTGAATTTAAATCAATGAGTTTGCTTTTATATACATTAATTTGCCAATGGACATTAGTTTTGCTTTCTTTTTAACTTGGAAAATATTACAGATGATTCTTACACAGCTCTAATTTCCCTCCACATTTCCCTGATTTCATGTTTTTTCCCCTTTCCCTCCCCCCAAAAAATTCCACCAATGACAGTTGTGAAGAGTAGAGGAGAAAGAAAATTATGAAGCAGTTCTACTGTTTGCATTGATCAGTGTTTGCGTGCCTACTTCACTGTTCTTTCCACCCCAGCATAGGAGAGCATCAGCTTTTAACCCCCGCCCAACCCCCCAAAGGAACCTTGGTGTCAGTGGTTAAGCATGCTTTCGCTAAGTGAAAGGTTGGCAATTTGGACCCACCAGATTTCCAAAGCCATAAATCTTCTTGGAAGCAAAACGCAACACGTGGATTCTCACCACCTCACTTCACAGACCAGTGTTTTAACAACCACACTACCAGAGGCTCCTCTGGAAAGGATAAAGCTTAGGAAACCCTAGGAGACAGTTCTGTGTTGTCCTAAGAGTCACTATCAGATGGAGTTGACTTCATGGCAGTGAGTTAATGGTCTAGGACATTTTGAGCATATAGTTAGCCTCACTGCTGTTGAGTTAATTCTGACTTCTGACGACCTTACAGGGAAGAGGAGAACTGCATCATAGGATTCTCTAGGCTCTAATACTTACAGAAGCACACCTCAGTATAGTTCTCCCACAGAGCAGCTAGTGTGTTCCATCTGTTAGGCTAGATGCATTGACCTTTCATTTGTGACTACTACACCACCAGGGCTCATATAAACTTCATTTATTGTTGCCTGCATCAAGGTTTGTCATACATATTTATGATCACCTATATAATGTTATTAACAAATAAAGGATAAGTTATGGTTACCAGTGGATTATTATTAGACCAGAGAGCTTCTTAATATCAAATAAATAATGAAATTAAAGTTTTAGAAAGAGACAGGGTTTCTGCATTTTTTCTGTCTTGGCATAAATATTCCAAGTCTGTATTTGAGATCATGATAAAAGAGATAGTAGTAGCTTTCAACTTCTTCCTTACCCAAATAATTTCGTTTTATACTTACTTGTCTTTGATATGAATACTTCAAAACAGAAGAAGGCAAGAATTTTCTTGTTCCTGATATACGTAGAAGCAGATGACACCATATATAATCTATTATACTCCAAATTCTTTGAAACCTAATAAAGACAGAAATATATCTGTCAAATTTAGATCAAGAGTTAACAAACCCCAAATATCTGAAATCAAATAAAGGGAATCTTCCTTATGAAAATGACCAGAGACCATTAAGGCAGAAATTTAGGTATATTTTTGCATTTTCTGTGAGCTGAAATGTATTCTTCATTTTGAGACTATAAATTAAAGGTATTGTATTTTTTAAGAATAGTGATTTGGTCTCCTGCATAGTTTCTGTGATGTGGCTTAGAGATCAGGAAGCAACATTCTAACAATATATATTAAACATTTCATTTATCCTTTCAAAATTCATTATTCCAGTTTTTAACAATATTTGTATATAATGTCGTATTTTTACTTCAACAATAGCCACTGAAAACATTTTAAAAAAGAAATCACAGAATATTACTCCAATTGCCCATTTTCATGTGAAAAAAGCAGTTCCTTTTTTTGTAAAAAATTACCCTATATAAGCACGCACTTATGTACTTTTTCAGTAATAGTTTCTTAGTACTTTAAGCCTATTGGCGAGTACATGTAAAAACAAATACAGCATCTCACAGCTATGCTTAATAATAGCATCAAAAATAGTGATGAGACAAAAAAAATAATGATGAGACACCAACCTCTGAAGTAAGATTTTTATTTAACATTATTCAAATTGTCACAAGGTGATAAAAGACTCACAGTGAGTATTAAAAGAATGGTTAAGCAGACTGGACCACATTTGAGAAAAGTTTCAACTTACTAGTTTTCATGTAGCTGATTAAGTTAGTCTATCTTCAAGACATGCAGTAAAAATCATTCCCCCATCCATCCAGTTTCATCTCTATAGGTTTTGGCTTTAGTAAGCTGAAGGGATATGTCAACTTCTCAAATTTCCCTTCTACCTCAAAGTGTTAAACTCCTCATATTATTTAAACTAAGTTCATAAGACATCCCTCCTAAATATTGGGCAGGTGGGAAGGAATCAGTAGTGTTGCAAAGAAGAGAATATTTTCTCCCAAAATAAGCTCAGCCATACATAGACAAATATGGAATCATTAGATCCTCCAAAGATCTCAGATAATAGTTTGGAATGAAATCTTGAAATTTCTAATTCTTTTCCTTGATGACTCAATAGCACAGTGTCTCTTCATTTTGCAAAAAGTACAGTGATCATTGAACTAATAGATGGCACCATGTTCCATGATAACGTTCTCTAGAAATCTCTGCGCAGCTTGCTTTTGTCGAAGAGCATCAGTGTACATTTCTGTGTCCCAAAATTAAGTCATCGAAGGTAATTTTAAATATAGCCTGAATATAGTCTACCTGATTGTAGAATAAGCTACAGGATTCTATAATACACTATTAGAAGAAAATAGATTGTATAATAAACGTTCCTAAATATTTATTTGTTAATTACCAATAAATGGTGGAGGTCCCCGATTAAAACAAGCTTGGAAGCACGCGTGGCATCCACTTCCAAAATAGCTTGCCTCTGAGACCCTATGAATCTGGAGAGAGGATGAAATTTACACAAGTGCCCAGGTCTTTCATTCATAGGTTCTCTATGAGTTGCCTGTGATGTGACAGCACTCAACAACAACAATTACCACTTGTATAATTTAGAAATATATCTGCATGCACCTCTGGTAGTCTAGTTATAAGGAGCTGTGTTGTCAACCAAAGGCATGTTGTTCAAGTCCACCCACTCGCTGCTCTGCAGGAGAAAGATGGGCAGTCAACTCCCGTGCAGTTTACCGCCTTTGAAAACCCACTGGAGTCACTCAGTCCTGACTTGATGGTGCTCAACTACAACAATGTGTATATATAGTAAATTAAATGCAGAAAGTATATTTTAATGAAAAATAAAGTGAGGAGAGGAGAAAGGGAATCATAGGTTTCTGACTATTATCCAAAAGATATTTTTGTTATATTCCCAATGTATTTAAAACAGTTAATTTATTATATTTGTATTTTGTATATGGAAAAACAGTAAAAGCACATTTAAAGAGTTGTATTAAGTACTTGATATGCATTTTCATTTAAACCTACAAAGATTTTTTCAAATATTACCAAAAAATGCATTTATTGGAATTGTATGTGTTCTAATTATTTTTTCTTTCTTTTCCAATATGTTTTTTATTTTAATTGTGATTTTAACAGAAGTTTACAGAAAAGTTAGATTTTCATTCATTCATTTTTGCACCTTTAATGCCCTCTCCTTCTGTTCCCCCTCCCGAATTGACTTTTTTAATATTAGTTTATTTCCAAAATTTGCATACATTGCTTTTGAGAATAGATTCTTCCGATTTCCCTCAACACCCTCCCCCGTCAAATTATGCAACCCCATGATGAATCCCCCTCCCCCTGCACATCCTCATCCCTCTGCTTCCACCCTGCCTACCCCCTTGGATCCTTACTCTCATTCTACAGTAATGGTGTGGGAAGTCTTGTTTTCTAATTTTTCAGAAGAAAATTGTAGTTTACAGTTATGAAGTGACCCAACTTAGGTCATGCCACAGTAAGGGTAAGATCTAGATTTGAATTAAGCTTGTCTTGATCACAGAGCTGGCTCTAAATCTTTTTCCTCTCTTTTCCTGGAACTGCAACGAGTCCAGATTTGGCATATGTTATGCTTACACATGGGTTTGTCAGTATTTCTGAGAAATTGCCAAATGAGAAATCATAAAAAAATTAATTTTCTGATAATCTATTTTGCCCTTGTCTTGCTACTTATGTATATTTCAAAGTAAATAAGATGGTAAATCTGACTTCTTCCTCTCCTCAGCTCTGTAATAAAATAGTATTTCTGGTGAGTTTTGTTGGCAACCGTGGCACGTTCACACGAGGGTACCGAGCAGTTGTCCTGGATATGGCCTTTCTCTACCATGTGGCATATGTCCTGGTTTGCATGCTGGGCCTCTTTGTCCATGAATTCTTCTATAGCTTCCTGGTAAGTACGTCTCTTCATCAAGATTCTCTGCTTCAAAAATGTACAATACATTTTCTTATGCTTTTTCCTTTGATTTTATCTTTTTTAAAAGCAAGGCTTGGCATTTGGGACAAAAGATGTTATTTATAGAATTTCTGAGGAAAAACATGAATTATTATTTTTAGTCTTTTTCCCTGAAAAACCATGTTAAGTGGTGGAATTCTTTACTTCCTTTCTGAGAAGCTACCAACCTCTCCACCTCTTGATCTAGGCTTCATCTGATAGCCTGGGTTGGGTTTCTGCTGAATTATACTTAGAGATTCTTCAGACAAGTATCAAATTAAAAATAAACAAATAAGGGTATAGTTCTATACACTGAAACTATTACATTTTGTTTATAATGCCATGTTACCATATATAGCTTTAGAATTGTGTATAAGTAGTCTAAGGGGGAGACTGTCACCTTAAAGACAGTGATTTAAGTAAAGTAGGATAAGACCCTCGATGACATGGATTGACAGTGGCTACAACAATGGCCTAAACACAGCAATGTTTATAAGGATGGAACAGGTCAGGGCAGGGATTCATTCTGTTATACACTGGATCACTGTGAATCACAATTAACTTAATGGCCCCTAACTTCCTGAAAGTGTGAAGGACTTGGTACAGAAGGAATGCAGCCTTCGATATGGCTTGTATCTCAATACCAACAGAATAAAAATTCTTACCCACCGGACTTATTGGCAAGACCATGGCAGATGAAGAGAAGATTGAAGTTATCCATGACTTCATCTTACTTTGATCCACAATGAGCACCCTTAGTGCTAGCAATCAGGAAATCAAGAGGCGTATTGCACTAGGAATGAGAGAGCTCTGTTGGCCTACTAGATAGAAAGTGATGCTACCAAGCCAAAGGTGGGTGGTTTTAATCTGCAGCCCTCAGGCCTGGTTTTAGTTGTTTTTGGTCAAATATTCTTCTAAATTGTGTAGCACTGGTCTGTCCATTTGCTCTACAGAGGTAACTCGTGTTTGCTGTGGAGCTGAACACTGTGACACTGATGTGTAAATGTGATAATGGTCACCCATGGTGGACAGTGTTTAGTGGAGCTCCCTAATTAAAACAAGCTTGGAAGCAGGAGTCGCATCCACTTCCAAAATAGCTTGTCTGTGGAAACTATGAACGTGGAGAAACTATGAAAGTTATACAAGTGTTCAGGTCTTTGATTCATAGGATTGCTGTGAGTTGTCTACAACTTGATGGCACCTAACAACAACAACAACAGTTGCACTGGGAAAGTCAGCAGTTTGAGCAGTGATGTCAGTTTAAGACTAAGGTGCACCTGATTCAGGCCATGGTCTTCTCAGTCACCTGCTATGCATCAGAGATCTGAACAATGAATAAGGATGACAGAAGATGAATTGTTACCTTTGAGTTGTAGTGCTAGAGAAGAGTACTGACTATCATGTGGACTTCCAAAAGAACAAACAAATATGTCTTGAAGAAACTGCAGCCAGAGTGCACTTTAGAAGCAAATGTGATAAAGCTTCTTCTCACTTACTTTGGTTATATTGCTAGGAGAGACTGGAGAGCATTATGCTAAGTAAACTAACACAGTCCCATAAGGACAAATAAGGAAGGGGGAGGAAGGAAGCAGAGGGGTGGGGATCCGCAGGGTGGGGGAATAAGGGAAATCATAAGGTTGCACAATTTGATGGGTGGAGGGAGGTGAAGGAAATGGGAAAAAATCCAATGTGAAAAACAATATATTTGGGCTTTGTAAATAAACCAGTATAAAACAAAACCAAACAAACAAAATAACCCAACACTATGGATTTTTCTCTCAGAAACAAACACACACAGAAGCAGAAAGAACCCCCAAATTTTGTATTCTCTGAATTGATGGGTGTGGACTGTAATCCAGGAATATGCTTTTTTAGCAAGCACCACGAAGGTTTTTGAAACACCAGACTTTCTCTAGAGCATGTTTCCATACTTTATTCCTAAGCAACTATTTAGTTAGAGGAAAATTTTTGTCAACTAAACATTTATTTAAGCTAAATATACAACTTTGTCAGCAAATGAAAGTTTAAGTAAGTTAATTTGTACTGAAGAAAACTGGTTATTAAGGAAGGTTTTTGTTACTTCCAGTAATTTTTTTTGTTCTTTTTTCCTAAGGATAGTAGAAAGTTACTACCTATACAGCAATTATCTGCAAAATTTTAATGAAATTGAAGAGTAACTGTGTGACCCTCAGTGTTCAGAAAAACAGAGCAGGGACCTGGTAATTCTGTAAGGAGACCTAATTGTCTTCACCAGTTTAGAAATTCTAATCACTGTCTAGTAGATAATCAGAGACAAAACTTAATTAATTCTCATGTGAAGCACACTACTAATTTTCAAACAAATATTTATACCTGTTTTTAAGTAAAAACTTAGTTATTGCTTTTAACTATTTTTTAATAATAAGAAATGTGCTTGCCAAAGTTGACTTTTTATAATATAGCAATACAAAGTTTAAGCTATTCTTAGTGCTGACTTCTATGTTCTTAACTACTGTATAGATTTTTTTCCCCCCTTAGTGCTAGTTCTAGTAGCCTAGTGAGTAAAGATTTGCACAGCCAGTACAAAGGCAGGTGGTTCTAATTCACCAGCTGCTCCTTGGGAGAAAGATGGGCTGTCTCTTTTGGACCAGTTGTCGTTGCTGTGTACTGTAGAATCAGAACGACCCATAGTTGACCCTCCAGCAGGTTTTCAGAGGCAATTAATTGTACAAGAAGAAATTGCCCATCCTTCTCCATTGGAGCAGCTTGTGGCTGCGTACCTTCGGGATTGCAGTGCTGCTTGCTGCTACTAGACCGCCCGAGCTCAATAGCCCCAGAAACCTGTTGGAGGGTCAGCTATGCGTTGGTTCAGCTCAACCACAAGGAGTAAATGATAAAATGTGTCACTGATACACTAATAGTGAAAAAATATTATTGCCATCACATTTATTTAAACTCATAGTAAACCTCCATGATCCTTCTGAAGGTATGATTCTGAGCAGGAGGAGACTACTAGTCTTTGTCCCTCAGAGCAACTGGTACGTTTGAACTGCTGAAGAAGCTCAATCTTTTTGTTAGTAGTACAACATAATACAGATACTATCATTAGAAGAGTGAATTAGCAAAATTTTATAAGCAATTTATATTTTTGTTGATAGTTCTATTTCTGAAAGTATATGCTAAAGTGATAGGTTTTGCCCTCATTATACCACTTTGGTGAGGAAAGATATTTGAGGTTCTCAGATTTTTTTTAAATTTCATAACTCTTCTATTGCTCCAGCATCATAAAATTGTTTTTGTAATTTCACCTCTAATCCCTTGATGAAACATCCACATGGGCTTTTAATGAGACAAGCAAATAATTAACCTTGAGAAGAGATACATAAAAAACATTTAATGAATTTGCCAATTATTTATCGCTTCACTGGCCCTACTGTAACATGCTCACTTTACCTGTATTATATATTCCAAAAGCAACTGCAAAAGAACTAAAATGAAATGATAGTTATAAGGCTTAAATATACTATTGCAACCTTTTAAAATTCAAATTTGAAAATATACTATTTCTATCATTTCTTATATAATTGAGTTTATGTGTTGTGAAACTAACAAATACTCATTAAATAATATTTACAGTTATCATTGTTGGAAAATAATATATATTTATCTATTCTAACTAGAGAAGAAATCCTTATTTTAATTCCGTTTCAGAATGTAAATTTGTCAGTGATTTACTTTTTCACAGATCAGCTAAGCTTGCACTTGTATTTGTGTGTATGTTTATTTCCGTTTTACTCTACTGCATTTTCTTCTTGTAGCTTTTTGACTTGGTGTATAGAGAAGAGACTCTGCTCAATGTCATTAAAAGTGTCACACGGAATGGCCGCTCCATTATTCTGACTGCAGTCCTGGCTCTCATCCTCGTCTACCTGTTTTCCATTATTGGGTTTCTTTTTTTGAAAGATGACTTCACTATGGAAGTGGACAGACTGAAAAACAGAACTCCTGTTACAGGTATCGCAATTACCATGAAGTGAGCTCTCTCTGATAGCAGATAGGACTTCTGGGTGGCTTGTTGGAGCTTTTTCCTCCTCTCCAGTAGAGCACCTGATAGATTTGAACTGTGTGCCTTTGGGATTGTAGCGCAGTTTATTGACACCAGGCCATCAGAGCTCCCTAAACATGGTCTTATTCTAAGAGCTGGAGGATGTGAAAGATTTTTAGGCAGCATATCAGTTAGGAAAACAAACAAATTCATCCTGGAAAGGGTTAAACCGGGCTGCTCCTTGGAGGCAAGGATTCTGAGGCTCCGTCTAACATACTTTGGACATGTTGTGAGGAGGGAACAGGTCCTTGGAGAAGGACATCATGCTTGGGAGGGTGGGGAGACAGCATAGGAGGGGAAGGCCCTCTATGAGGTGGATTGATTCAGTGACTGGGGTAATCGGGATGGGAGTGTCAGAGACAGTGTGCGATTGGCACAGGACAGAGCAGAATTTAGGGCTGTTGTACATAGGGTCGCTATGAGTTGCAAGCAACTTGATGGCACATAACAACAACAACAACATCAAATATGAATGTGTATAGGGAAATACTTATTCAAGAAAAAAAATCTAAGGTTGATCTCAATGAGGAAGGTTCAGAAATGCTGACTGTATTCAAGAAAATGCCAGCAACTTCACTCGAGGATAGTAATTTGGAATTTTTTTATCATGTCTTTTTCCTATCTTTTCACCTCTAATCTCTAGAAGATCTTGTATTAAATGTTTAGAGCCATTATTCTGTACATATTTCATCACAGTGTGATATCCTATTAAACTTGAATAATTGAAAGTGATACATGCTTTAATTTGAAAACCTGAAGATAGGAAAAAAATAATTTGCATAATTTAGATGCTCAAATATTATGGTTTAGAGACACAGTCTGTTGTGAGAACTCCCCTACACTATTTTTCTTGTGTGGTTAGTTAGTCACCACTCATTCACACTCACTGTGATTCTGTGATTCCTGTGGTGTTGGAGCTTGTTTTATCTTCTTTTGTTTTGGTTATTTTTACTGATTTTGCTTTCTAGTGGTT